TGTGTGTGTATGTGTGTGTGTGTGTGTGTGTGTGTGTGTGAGTGAGTGCATGTGTGTGAGTGTGTGTGTGAGTGTATGTGTGCGTGTGTGTGAGTGCATGTGTGTGTGTGAGTGAGTGTGTGTGTGAGTGAGTGCATGTGTGTGTGTGTATGTGTGTGTGTGTGTGTGTGTGTGTGTGAGTGAGTGCATGTGTGTGAGTGTGTGTGTGAGTGTATGTGTGCGTGTGTGTGAGTGCATGTGTGTGTGTGAGTGAGTGTGTGTGTGAGTGAGTGCATGTGTGTGTGTGTGTGTATATATAATCTCCATGATTTATGCGATTGATCTGTAATTTATAGATAGAGATAGATGTGTGTTACATATGTGCTAAGATTTTAGGATTTACAATTTGACATAATTTTTATATTAATATATATATGTATATATTCTGATTTATAGATATGTATTCTGATTTCTGAGATTTAATAATAAAATAATTTCAAAAATGTAAATGGTAAGTTACAGATAGGTTTTACAGACATATATTGATTTATAAGTTTGTAGCAAGATTTTACATAATTATTTCTTGATTAGTTCCCCCATGATGTATGAGATTAATTTGTGTAATGTCAACCTTTGAGTCATATAATTTTGATATATATGTGATTTTTATATATGTGTTTACAATTTTAATGAATTATTTATTAAATATGTATGTGTATCTATATCTCTATCCATATTAAATCAGAATATATAAACATAAATTATGTATTCTGATTTGTAAGTATATAGTGAGATTTAATAATAAAATACATAATTTCATATATACATATATGGCAGGAGAATATGTCTTTGTCCCTCACACACACACAAACTCTCTCTCTCTCTCACACACACACACACACACACTCACACACTCTCTCTCTCACACACACACACACACACACAAAGGCGACGTGTGTGATGTAAATCTCAGGCAGAGTGAAGGCATCTCAGTCCCTCCCTCATTCTAGAACACAGGACTTCATGTCATTATAATTCATGTTGCCTAGCAACATGGGAGTCGTCATAGAGGCCCAACAATAAAGAGATGACATGTACAGTGATGTGCTGAGCGCTTTAACGCCGAGATATGCCTCCGCCATCTTTTCCTGCTCATCTGTGCTTGAAGGAATCAGAATTAGAAACGCCATTTAAACGCTCTCTCAGTGACATCTTATCACGTCGCGCCGTCAGCCCTCGGATACGCGTTATCTAGCTTAAATCGAACCTCTTGTTGACTCCTTTGCAAGCATTATGCATTTCACAAAACATGTTAGTGGTGTATAAATGCATGATGGGGTGTTTTGCACAAATAAAGGAGACGCACAGAAAGTCACAATTCAAAAAGGATCACATTTAATCAACAAGCCATCCTAAGAGTCTCTTATCCATCAAGACAGTGAGGCGTCACAACAGCAATAAACAAAGTTATTTTCTTAAAGTCTTTAGTTCAAAACAAAACACTTTTCTACCCATGCAACAGAAAGGTGGTTTAAAGGAATTGTTCGCTCAGAGATTAACTTTCTGTCGTCATTTACTCGCCCCGAACCTGTGACTTGCTTTCTTCTGTGGAACAAGGAGAATTTTTAAAGACTATCCTGGTTGTTCCTTTCAATCAAATGAAAGGGAGGTCAAATGATTATTTATGACTACAGATGTCTTTTCCCAGCACAAAACTATCATATGACTTCAGTGAACATATAATATAGTGCATTAATCGTGTGGACTGCTTTTATGCTGGTTGTCTCGTGATTTTAGAGTTTGAGAGACTTCAGTTGCTTCAATGCATATTCTTCGAATAACCTCCTTTTGTCTTCTGCAGAAGAAAGCGAGTGATTGAAATGACATGAGGGTGAGTAAATGATGACTGTATATTCGCTTTCAGGTGAACTATTCCTTTAAAGGGTTAGTTCACCCAAAAATTAAAATTAGCCCATAAATTACTCACCCACAAGTCATCCTAGGTGTATATGACTTTCTTCTTTCAGACGAATCCAGTCGGAGTAATATTACAAATGGTCTTTGATCTTTCAAGCTGTTTAATGGCACTCAGCGGGTGTTGCATGCTTCAGTCCAAAAGAAGTGAAATCAAAAGCGCCCATCCATAAAAAAGTGTCTCACACGGCTCCGGGGGGTGAACAAAGGCCTCCTGTAGCAAATCGATGCGTTTGTGAAAGAAAAATATCCATATTCAAAACATAATCACTTTAATGTAGCTTGCGCTCACTGTTGTACACAGAAGCAGCTCCGGGCGGATGATGTATGAGGTCGGATTTGTGCATGCACCGCTCAGAAGTGACGAACGTGGAAGCGCAGCGGAGAGATCAAAACAAAAAACGGTCACTTATTAGAAGTACAAAACGAGGATTTGTAAAGAAGAATGTGGGAGGATTTCGATATAAGCCCAGAGGAGACTGGTTTTCCTTTGCTAAAGTAAGGACACGTTGTTTCCTTTGATCCTGTTAACAAACGCTGGTTTTCACGAGACTCACCGGCGCATGCGCAGCATTGACCTCATACGTCATCCGCTCGGAGCTGCTTCCGTGTACAACTGCTGGCGCCAGCTAGATTAAAGTGATTATCTTTGCTAAAGTAAGGACACGTTGCTTCCTTTGATCCGGTTAACAAACGCTGGTTTTCACGAGACTCACCGGCGCATGCGCAGCGTTGACCTCATACGTCATCCGCTCGGAGCTGCTTCCGTGTACAACTGCTGGCGCCAGCTAGATTAAAGTGATTATTACATTTTGAATATGGATATTTTTCTTACAAAAACGCATCGATTCGCTACAGAAGGCCTTTGTTCACCCCCCGGAGCCGTGTGAGACACTTTTTTTTATGGATGGGCGCTTTTTATTTAACTTATTTTGGAATGATGCATGCAACACCCGCTGAGTGACATTAAACAGCTTGAAAGACCAAAGACCATTTTTAATATAACTCCGACTGGATTCATCTGAAAGAAGAAAGTCATATACACCTAGGATGACTTGAGGGTGAGTGGGCTAATTTATGGGCTAATTTTCATTTTTGGGTGAACTAACCCTTTAAGCTCGGATGGGGTCCTGATACGACTGAATTCAAGTCTCTGTTTCTCTACGTCCGTTGGTGTTTGGTTGAGGTGAGGTCAGTCTGAGACCCAGAGACTTGCCCTCGACGTCTCTCCGGTGGGGCATGTGCACCTGACGCCCCCCCCCCCAGGGCTAAACGGGCCCCAGGGGGCTCTCTGTTTCTCTACGTCCGTTGGTGTTTGGTTGAGGTGAGGTCAGTCTGAGACCCAGAGACTTGCCCTCGACGTCTCTCCGGTGGGGCATGTGCACCTGACGCCCCCCCCCCCAGTGCTAAACGGGCCACAGTGAGTCCTGAGGGGAAGGGGTAGTAAGAGAGGAGGACGGTGAGAGTCCCTGATTGCGGAACCGTATGATCAGACCTCGGGGTAGATCGTAGGTTTATGACCTGCAGATCTTCTAGTGTTCAAGTCCGGTTTTATGACGTGGATTGGTGGCGTGTTCTTCAGAAGAACCAGCGGAAGGTGTCGGCGGCTCCTGCCGATGGTGCTCTCTGAGGGAAGACACAGGAGATAGTGGGAATTCTGGACAGATTCCAGTTTAGCTGTTTGGTGTGAATCATCTTCACAATAAGATGCAATGATTCAAAATATTGATTCATCAAAAATAAGAATTAAATTGGGAAAACGAAAAACAACAGACCAACCCGACCATCTGTATGCAAAGGCCCTCGCAACTGTGTTTCCGTTAGCTGAGACAACTGTTTATGTAATGATTATTGTTGGCTCTTTGATTAATTGCTTTTGTTTCTCTTTGGATAAAAGCATCTACTAAATGCATAAATGTAATTATGAAACTTTTAGTCACTGGATTTGATAAAAGTTTGTGAGGATTGAACAACAAGAGTTTTGTTGAAAAAAAGTAGCACGTAAACTAGTTGACCAAGAGTTTTTGCAAATAGTTGGTACTTCATGATCTGACACAGCACACATTTTTTGCATTGATTGCATATTACTCTGAACCATGTGTAGATGTCTTGGATATCTAGTTTACTTGCTACTAAGGCGTTTCTGTAGCTCAAACATTAGAGCATGGCATTGGCGACATCAAGGTGTTGGGTTCAATTACCAGGGAATGTGTGAACTGATAAAAATGTACATTTTGAATTCAGTGTAAGTTGTTTTGGATAAAAGCGTCTGCCAAATGCATAAATGTAATGTTCTTAAACATTACCTGGACCCTCCCCAGCACTGCACATCTTTAATTATATGGAGACATCCCAAATGCAGTGTCAGGGAGACTCCAAACAAACTCTTAAAGCCTGTCCACACCAAGGATGATAACTAATGAAGTCCGCACCACAACTATATCGACACAGAAATGATATTGTTGGAATCACTTTCAGAATATTTTTTTCCTGGTGGTGAATGATAAAAACAGCCAATAACAATCCATCCGACTTTAAAGAGCACAAGCATTTCAAGCATCAGAAGACAAAACTGCAATGCATGCTTAGAATAAACAGAACATTATTGTCTGCTTATGTAGTTAACATTATTATTTAAAATCTTCCTGTGTAAACGTGCGTTCACATTTACCATTGTTCAGCAAATTATCATAGGTAATTTCAGTGGGAAAGATGCTTGCTTTGAAAGTCACTTCTACACCTCTCTACACTTTTATTAATAGACTATGGAACTTTTCACCTGCAAAATTTGGCTGATGTGATCACATCTTAAATTGGTGGTTCTTGGTCAGATTAAGCTGAAATGTGGATTTTATGCCAACATGCGCTGGGCTCTCCACAACTAGATCTGATGGTACTGGACTGGTTTGTGATGGTCTGATTTTGATTCTGGTGAGTTGTGTTAACGGGTTGTGAATAGATTAAGCTGTCTTTGTATTATTACAGAGAACTTACAACATGTTGCCTCATCTCTCAGCCTTCAATACTGACTGTGTGCGCTAGAGCGATAAAGTGTGTGCTTGAGTGTAAGGGCATTTTTCCAGCATAAGAGGGCTCAAACCATCAACTAACACACACACACACACAGACATTAATGCATGATGGTTAATTATGGCCGCTCGTGCCAAGACTGGGCTCTACTCCAAACCCCCAGCCAATCAAACAGCCCACTTCAGTAGAGCTCCCTGCATATGTGTGAGTGCGTGTGAGAATCCCACCTCCATCGTGCTGCCTGGTTTCTTCTTGAGTTCTTCACACTTTCTGAACTTGCAGATTTGATGACCCGTCTTTCTGTTTCGACAGGAGCTGCATACGCCGCAGTTAATGAGCCTCCTGCAGGGGGCGCACACGCCGCAGCGCTTACGCTTGCGCTTGGCCGCTCCGCTACCATTGCTGCTAGCGCTGCTGCAACTGCCGTTGGCGTTTCCGTTAAGAGCAGCGGGCGAGCCGGAGCAGGACGAACTACTGTGCTGGCAGTCCGCCGCCACGTTGGCAATCTGAAATGCGCTGTCTGACATCGTGACCCCTGACGACCCTGCACCAGAGTGAAGCGTCGTCATGACGATGACCCCCGGTGGCAGCGACAGACCCCCCAACGGGGGCATCCCTCCGAATGTCCCGCCTCGGTCCGCCTCTCCGGCTCCACTAGGCGGCGGGCACTTCAGTCGGTTCATGCACTCAGCCCCCGTTACGGGAAGACCGCGGCATTGCTCCGCAGCTAGCGGCGACAGGAAGTTGTCAGCGCCCATTGGGAGGGCGGAGTCTTGTGGAATGTGTTTGGCGGACATGTGCATGTTCACCGGCTCTGCCCTCGACATGCCAGTCCGATGTGTGTGAGGTCCGTTAACATTAACCGAGGTGGGCTTTCGCCCCCATAGCATGGCGTTGTCGCAGGGCCAGGGTGGCATCGCCGATAGGCGGGCTGAGGGGAAGAGGGGCGTGGCGATTCGGGTGATTTTGGCGTTCTGGGGAAATGGGGTGGCGGCAGCAGCGGCCGCTGCGGCTGTGCTGTTCTTATAGAAGGTGGCAAATGAGCGGTATCGCTCCATCTGCGCGCTGTAGTCCAACACGGGGTTCATGCACGAGTCGATCTGCAGAGGAAAGTCCCGCCCGGGGGTGGGGTTATAGTTGTAGGTGTGGCCATGGGTGTGGCCATGAGTGTGTGGGGTTTCCATGCACACACTACTGCTCATGTTCGCCATCAGAGCAAAACAAACACGCACTAACACCCAACCATCCACGGCACTGGTCCTGTGGAGGAAAGAGGAGGTGGACGTGAACAGAGAACTACAACTAAGCGGAATCGCAATTCAGAAATCTTTCATTTATTTGCAGACAATAGCGTATATTTCGTCAAATCCTAAAGGATGCATACAAAATTGCTTAATGGTATTTTAGAACCAAAACGAATCAAACGAGTCCACTAAGAACCAAAACAACTAAAATTACGATAAACAAAAACCCTGAAAATAAGAAAATTACAGTTTACGCAATCTTATTTGACTCTTAAGGCTCTTGCACATTGAGTCCGAATTTTTCGCACGTTAAAAAATAAATACGAGCTCACGTTGTGTCAATCACGTTTACACACTGCCTCCGAAACTTTCGTTCGTCATAAAAAAATTCGGATCGGGTTTGATTTTCTGCATTTTTCGCATCCGTTGCAAGCATTTTGAGAGATGTTTTGACAATTCAGAGCCACCGTACAAGCGAACGCCAAAATCCAGAATGGCGTCTGACAAGATGATCACTTCTTCTAGCTGCACAAAGCACTGTATAGGTCCATAATTAAGGGCGTGGCCACTTGAGTGACAGGTGGATTGCCACTGCTGTCACCACCGTCGAGCTAGGTGGGCGTGGCTTCACCAACCTGCTCCCACTCTTTGCCCATTTTCGATTATCTGGGAGTGACGCGCGGTGACGCGCTACCAAGATGACCAAGACTCCATTTTTAATTGTTTTGCTAATTTTTTTCGCAACGGATTCCTTAATACACACCGGACTCAGTGTGCAAGGTTTCTGTGCGTGACGAATTTTTAGGACGACGAATGCGAAAAAACGTATACGGAAATTTCGGACTCGTAATTCATTCTGAAAAACTGAAATTTGATTCAGTCAAATTTAGATTAAAAATTTAAGAAAAACGCAGTTCAGATAAACAGCAAAGGTTTTTTTTTATGCATTTATGTAAATTTTTAATGCTCATTGTTTCCTCCCAGCTCTTAAATTATGATGCATCTTGAATTTATTGCTCCATTTATTTACAGAAAAGATACATTTATGTATGTATGCAAAATTGCTTAATGAATACCAAGTTTAAACAAGCTTAATGTCATCTAAAAAGAAAAAATGAAAAAAAAAATACACGAGATTCAGTTACATTTAGATTAAAACAATGAAAAAAAAGCATAGTTCAGATAAATAGCAAAAGGTTTTATGCATATCTTTTTGCTTTACCTTTAGACTCGCGCCGCTTCACGATGCTTTAACGGAGAGCATCACCGCGCGCTGATGCCGCCTCAATAATCCCCGTTACAAGAAAAAACACGCGCCACAAAACAACGAGACGCGTCCGTTTTAACGATCACCTTGAGCAGCTGCGGCGCTAAATACCGAGACTAACGGGAATAATAAATAATATTGACGCCGCCAACGACGCACCGTCCTCAGGGGCGGGTATGGGTGACGGAAGGGTAGACGGCTCCTCCCGGTGTGTGTGTGTGTGTGTGTGTGTGTGTGTGAGGCTGACGGGGGGGGTGAGGAAGCGCCGTTGCGGACACCTCCTGATCATTGGCGGGAAATGATTGTGGAAGCGCGGGAGGCGCGCGGGGGCTGACATACGGGGTCTCGCCGCGCAGCGCGGAGGGTAATGCGTGTCAACTCCTCTCGCGCCCTTTTTTTCCCGCCGACGCCTGAGTGACGGTTATTAATCACGGGCGTCTTGTGTGAGGGGTTTTGTTTTTTTTTTTTTAAGGAATTTCGCGGTTTATTAAGGTTCATT